GGATGCCACCCTGTGCCACATGCTGTAGGTGTGCCTGCTTGAGCAGGAAGGTTGGACTAGATGATCTGTAGAGGTCCCTTCCAACCTTAAATATTCTGAAATATTCTGAAATATTCTGAACTGAAATAAAAGGTTTTGGTGTTTTTCCTATTACAATAATGCCACAAATCAAGTTGAAGGTCTGAAGTTACCACATATCATTTGACAGAGCAAAGAAATAGATGATCCCCCTCTCTCTCTCCCCCTCTCTTTCTCTCTCAGAGCTTCATAATTTGTGCAGATAGGACAAGATCTGACGACAAGACAGCCCTGCTTCAAAAGCTTAGCTTTTAGCTTACAGAAATTTCCCGTAAATATGTTAAGAAAGCTCATTGCTTTCCTTCAGAACTTTAAAACTTTCCATTGATATGGACTTCAAAGACTCATTAACGAATCACTTGATAATACGCCAAAATCCTTATCATCTCACTAATACTGCCCCTTCCCTTCTTTCTATTTCCATCCGCCTCTGTCTCTTGATTTACTACTCAGATTTTTAAGATATTGGGAAATTACCATCTTTCTTCCCATACTTCTGTGCACTGCCACTCCCAGGCACTGGGGCAATGAAAAGAATGAACAGGTCAAGTGAAAAAGAGAACCGGGATTTAAAACTGGGATTTTTTTTTCTGATCAAGCCTGCTAATGCAGCAGATTAATCATATGTTTTACACATTAATAAACATGAAAATATGTGAAAGATTATTAAATATAGACCACAACTAAATGCTATTTTTCTTTACTGGTATATTTATTACGACAGATTTTCTTTGGTAGTGAAGTAGGAGCATGAAATACTGGAGAAAATTAAATATGTTTAGAAAAACAAGCTTATCCTAAATGGCAAAAGGTAGGAGCATATTATACCATTTCAACATTAGGCTTGATAAAATAATTTTGTCAGTTGTCCTCAATATTTTTCTCCTTTTAATGACATTTTATCTCTGTATTAAATGAGCCATTTTTTATATCTAATAGTTTCAGAGGTCAAAACAGTATATAGGTGAGAGATCCTATATTTGCCTAACCTCTGTGCAGCAGAAGACTTAAGTTTTGAATAGATCCGGTTTTAGGGAGTGAAAGTCATGTTAAACTGCCCAAAATTAAATAATCCCACTAGGATGAAAAGCTGAGAAGTTTCTAGGAACATTTCTTTACCTCTTATGATTATCCATATGTTCTTTAACGACAAAGCCATTAAAAAGGACTGACAGCTTAGTCTCTGCAAATATCCTCCCCCCAAACATCCTGCAGTCTACAGCATTAGCATGGCATTTAACATCTCTAGAGAAGAAAGTCCATTTAATTTAACTATTAGCCCATGTCACTATCTCATGATGTGAGATTAAATTGAAGTGTAAACAAGTTCCTACAACACTCGAGGACAACACAGACACAAACCTAAAGAAAGGGAAAATTTTGAGATTCATTATTGAATAAAGGCAGCTATAAATAAATAAAAATTGCAGCCTAGTAAGAGCTTTAAATCATCTCAGAGGAAATGTAGCAGCCCTTTCCATAAACCTGCATTTCTGCGCAGTCCTGGTGGGACTAGAGGATCATAGTATAGAGAACAACACGGGTTTGGTTTGCCTGGGTTGAACTCAAGCTCTGAGCACAGTTGTTCCTGAAATCATCCATTTTTAGACAGATCAGCTCAGAAATTTTACGGCTCCAAGACCTGACAGAAAACAGCAGAGCCAGGGAGAGAAACAGGCTCGAGATGCAATGTTTTCAGCCATCTGGTTCTGCCCGGTCTTAACGACAGAGATTTTTTACTGTTCTTAGCCAGAAGAGCTATTTCCCATCGTTGCCAGTTTTTGGCCTTCAGCTTATTTATGCAGAAGCTGGTAATTGCCAAACACTGTGTTATAAGGAAGTAATAATATTGATGACATGCAAGCAAGCAAACAAGGAATGTTTATAGTAATTTCTTCAAGCTCTCATAACAAAACTCCAATTTATTTTGAGAGCTAACATGAATATGACCACAGGAAGGTAGAAGCCTGAAATCTCTACAGTAGGCAAACATCAGCTGGACAGACACTAACATATTTGGGCATTCTGGCCCAAAATAATCTAACTTCTTAGGAATCTCCCTAACTTGAAGGGTAGTTGATATTTCCAGGCAAACTGATTAAAAAAAAATCCTCTCGGAGTAGAGGATGACTAAAGGACCTTTGCCGGGTTTATTTCTAATGTCCTTTAAAGAAACATTTACAGGATGCTTTATACACAGAACAACAGCTGTCAGGCATTATGTCCAGATACATGAGTTCTGCAGCAGCAAGAATGCCAACCTGTGATTTCCTGTTTCAACATCTTTCCTTCGTATCTCTGCTAATTAACATGGCTTTTTAAAAATTATTTCTTCCAGACATTCATATTCCCCAGAGTTCTTTAAAATACACAGTGTCAGATATTTTTGATTCAAATAAAACCTTCATAATCTCTTTGAAAGCCCTTTGTCTAATATACTTACAGATTCTGACTTATAAACTGTTTCACCTGCTATGAAACCTTGCATACTATTTCTGTTCTAAATAACCAACTTCAACTGCCATCAAAAAAACCTAATGATACTTTATTTCCTTTGGATTAAATACTGTTCCAATTTAATATCTAATTTATTAAAAATGTATATAACTAAAGAGTTATTTTGATGAATGCTCTCATTTAGCAAAACAGATATCCAAAAGATCTTTCAAGAAAATTTGGCTTCAAACTACCTGTTATATATATAAATATTTATCTTGTATCTTGAAAAAGTATCTTCAAACCTAAGCATATGGTCTCCTTTAGGAACAGAAAACTAAGCAGATGTTACAAAGCCATTTGAGGTCACAACAGTGTTTTGCCAGAAGCAAAAATCTAAGTTGTCTTACCACCGAGCCGAGATGCAGCTATGACACCATAGCACCGTGGTACTTGAATAGAAAGCTGCATCAATGTGAAGACAGGATTTCTTGAAAAGACAAGGTTAAAAACAAGCAGTTGCATTTCCTAATAATAATAATACACACACAGGAGCACAAATATTGCCTGTGATAATGGTGGCTTTTAATTCCATCACTGGAGAACAAATGCAAGATGCCGGCCCTGTCAAAGACTGTTCTGTCTCTCCTTGGTTGGGACGCTCAACAGCGCTGTTCATCCACTAAAGGACATCATTAACAGGGGTACTGCTAGCCACCTAAACACAGCTGCAGCCTTTCCCCTCTACAGTCTCTTTTGGGTGCAAATTTGGGGATAGATAGAATATTTGCAGAACATTCAAGATATAAGAATTCAAGCTTGAATTCCAATACTGCAATATGTTCAGAAGCAGATTTCTGAAAAGATATGTGAAATTGAGTTACAAAAGCGAACAAAAAGCTAAAATTAAATCTGAATTCTTTTTTATCATCTTTTTTTATCACTCCTTCAGAGTACTCAGAAATTCTTAGTGTTAGGCTTTAAGCAGGGGTTCTGGAAAGAGATTTGAAGGAAAGATTTAAACTGGCTGTAACCATCTTATAGCAGGAGGGTTTTCTGAGACAGCTCTGTGATAAATCTCTCAACACCTAGTTTTAACATCTCACACATCTGCCCTACTAGGGCCACGTAAGGTGGATTCTTAAACAAGCTTCCTGTGGACTTGCCCCATGAGGGCTTCGTGATGCCTAGCAGGAACGCCGCTGCAGCCCACGGCACAGCAGCCCTGCTGCCGGCGCGGGCCTCAGGCCCCCCACGCTCGCTCTTTTGTCCCTGGATGAATGCAGGTGTCTACTGAAAAGAGAAACAGCAGAGGACAAGGCTCCTTTGAGGCACCCAAGAGTTTGGATCAGAGATTGTGGGGATTTAGATAAAAATGACTTCCCAGATCAAACGTCCTCCCTCCCACGCTTACCACTCCGCAGTTACCTAAAGCCATGACGGGAAAACAAGCAGTAGAAGACTGCAATACATGTGACTCAGAAACGAGGCAAATTTCATGCATGTGCTACTAGCTCATGAGGCAAAAACACCTAGGTACCCATTCCTTAATTAAAGTCAAAGCTTGCTTGCATATCAATCTATCTACGGCAAGAACATTTGTTATTTTCTCGCAACTGTGAATATATTCAAATTTCAGTTACTTTCCCACTAATATAAACAGGTGCTCCAGGATTTTACTACTTTATTTTGAGATCTCAACTGCAGCAAGTAAGTCCACCAAGTTAACATGGGAAAGTTCTGCACAAGATTTTTACAGCTGAGATTCTACTACAGCTCTCTCTCTCACCCAGAATACATTACAGCAAATCCAAAATAGGCTGCAAGACGGATTTATCACACTCAGCTTGCTGCTCAGGAAGGGGATTACTGACTGATCTACTTTTAAACACAAGCTGTAGTTGCCCACAGAGAATCACTAAGACTGCCAACTGTTCCTGTGGGTCACAGCACTCTTTAGGCATCCTTTCAGTGTCTGAACTGCAGTTCAGCAATGTATGTGTGCAATATGTGTCTTAGTCCAAACTATAAAACACCAGAATGATCGACAGATTGACCCACAAGTAACGCCTGAACTCATCAAATATTTCGTTGATTATTTTTTCAAACAGACCTCATTACTTATCAGTGAAGCAGTCAAATAAATATGTAATTAGCAAGCAAGGCAGCAAAAATCTGTTCAGTTCATCTATCACACCTCTCATATTAAAGCATTCCTAAAAGAGAAGCAAATTAGCTAACAGCTGAATTGAACTAGTATTAGCTAAATCTCATTAACTCTCCTATGTGGGCTTAGGTCATCGAAGTTCCTTTTCCTCCGTGCTTCAGGGAGAGCCTTTACATAATTTTATGCAGAGTTTAACTAGTCCATTTAAACTTCAAACTTTTAGCTATCTCTCCAACTTTAAGTTTATACAATGGTATTAAGTAATCCATGAGCTGATGATGTAATAAATACTGAGGCAAAGTTTACAGCACACACTCACCTCCGCGATCTCGTGCTGCTAAATGCTGTCCTCTTCTTAAAGTAATGTCCAGCTGGTACATACCGGGATCCGCAGAGGGGAAATCGGCATTACTAGTCCCACCTGAATTTGTTGTCTACAGGGAGGGGAAACAAACAAACAAAAAAAATCATTAATGTCACTAAAAGAGTCATTAGTATTACTAAAAGTTTCAGCTAAGGTATATATTTTTTCCTCTGCTGGAGTACAACCTGGAAGGCAAAACAAACCAAGTGCTTACAGCACCATTTGGACTAGTAATTTCCTGTGCCCTCAAGGCCTTTATTTAACAGAAATAATCTATTGACTGAATAAAATTCTCTCTTTCTTGTGGCTATTCATAAATGCATTTATGCTTTTGCCAGCTACTGAATTACTTGGCAAAATGTGTGTTTCTTCCATTGCAGGCAGAGGCATCATCAAACTCAGCTGTATCTCTTCCTTTCTAACATGTTTGTAGTTTGTGCAAATAATTCCTGTTTGCCAAGACAAAGATAAAACAAGACTCCCATAGTAGTTATTTGTAAAAAATGTAACATGAAAAACAAATAAATAAAAAAACAGACCCAAAGGAATTCTGCATCAGTGTAGCCAAATGACAAAGGAGAGAAATGAAATTTCCTGCTAAACTTAACAACTTTTGGAAAAGAGGTCTTAAAATATCCTTTTGTAAGTGTCTTCTAAATATACTTTTTGCATGAAATATCATATTTAATTTTAAAACTAGAATGGCTATGGCTATTACACATTCACAGGATCCACAGGATCACTGCACAATTTTATACTCAGATATAAATTTTTAACACTAGCGCTATCAGTATTTTCTTATGTGATTACAGGCCCTCTATAAGGGGAGGAGGGAAAGCCATGATGGATGTCTGTGTTCTCCAGGATGTTTCCAAGTCCTGCACCACTTCGACAAGAAACTTCCATTTTCATTTCTCTTCCCATCTCTCACATTAAGGGTAACAATAAATCTAAATTATGAAGAAAAAGCACAAACTAGGGCAAATTGGAGAGTCTTGTACACCAGAGTCACAACTCTGAGTCTCACGAGACTCTCACAGAAGTCACCCACAGCCTTCTTGTAAAAAGGCAGCAACTTGCTCCTCACCTTGCTGCTTCTTTCTCCCCCTCTCTAAAAAACTGACCACAGAAAGCAGCAAGATCACCGACAAGGGAACCCAAAATCCTGCCACGGGTTCTGCAGCATTCGGGCTTTAGTGCAGTCGGAACACGGCAACCTTGAGCTGCGCAGAGACTCAGCCCAGGGACAGCCCACCAGGGCATGCTGTGTAAGGAGGAATTTGCCTTGGGGAGGAAATAACGAGCACCACAATTTTCCTTCCCCTTTCTTGCCCTTTTACATAAGCTTGAAAACACCCAAAAAAAAAAAAAAAAAAAACCCTAAATTGCTCAACTGCCACATCCTACCTAATGACCTCAAGAAAAATGTGTTCTCTGTAGCCAGAGCAAAACCTCATCACAACTAGAACCGGTTGTGGCCCACAACGCTGTTTCACCCTGGCTCTTACAAGGTGAGGACCCCAAGTCTTCTGATAAAACAAGCTCATGGAAGGAGCCCCTGCCTTCACTTTCAGGATCTACACACAAGGTCTCCAACACCCTTTTCCTTTATTCATCCTTTTACAAAAACTTAGAATTCCCATTCAAAAGTATAAAGGCAATTTATTAACCATTTCACTTCTGTGCAGTGTCTGAGGCAAGGCAATGCCCGAATTTATGTCTTTGGAATGATTTTTATTAGCAGCCTTATTATTGTACTTTCAAACATTCTTACTGCAATTATGACTAAATTTTAAGACTTGACAATCTCCCATAGAATCCCTGTCAATGTGGCTCAAAGGCAGATTTCTGTTTGCCACTGCACGCGAGGCTGCTGAAGTCACTGCCCACAGTGACCTTCACCAGCTCCAACCACAATGAAAACGCTTCGCGTGAAGAAGGTCAAGAGAGGGATCTCACTAATGACACTTCCTCTGGTGTGCTCTCATTTCTAATAGATATTGAACTCCCGTGGGCTGTTCTTTCGTTGAGCAGCATGAGCAACAGCATGAGCTACTTTCCCTTTAGGTGACACATCGATGGTAAGGTCTGTGATAGCCCAGGTTTAAATGAATCAAGCTGCAGCTACATCTCACTCCTGACTCAGGATATGGCAGATAGATGCTCTAACGCGACCAGAACGTATGTAACGTGGTTAAGCTGAACTAAGCAGCACGTTCACACTTCCAATGACTTCTTTAAGTGGCACTCCTCCTTTAAGCACCTTTTTCAAGACATCTACATTAGAGAAACTCATCTGCAATCTGAAAGACTCTTTTCAACAGTTTAAACCCATGAAGCATTAATAAATTATTACATTAATAAATACATATATATAAGCAACCTCATCATTAAGCTAGACCAAGTGTTTAAAATACAAAGATGTTTATCTAAAGATTAGTCACCTACGGCATGGTGAGCTCAGGCAGAACACGCCTGTGGCCATGCTACAGGCCACACAAAATACCACAGTATTAAGTTGCATCTGAGCACCCTAATATAAAGGAAAGCTCTTTATTGATTTCTATACAGGTAACTGCACAAAGCGTTATCGTTCAAGGAAATTAAATTGTTCCTTAGTCTTCCAATGCTTGGTGTTAGCATCCACTCGGGGGGTTGTGCTATGCAAGCTGACACAAGATGCAAACTATTTCCAGAATGGAGATGAAAGATTTGGATTTTCTTTTTTTTTTTAATTTAGTGTCCTCTCCCAATTCCATGGGACATAAAAAGGCCGGGGGGGGGAGAGGCGGGGGAAGTCTCTGAATAGTTCATAGAGTGCCTGGAAACTCAAGTTTCAGTTATATCACAACACTGTTCCATGTTAAATCCTTTAGGATACTCTGAAGTGAAAAACTAGTTAAATATCTTCTCATTTTTTCTTCTCATGCCATAAGACCCCCTTTTGCTGTATGAGCCCAATTTAACAGTTTAATGACCAGATTAATTTTTTCTCCCTCTTTTTTTTTTTTTTTTGGTAAACATATCTGGATTACCCAAACTGACTGTAAGCCAGCTAGCAGTGCTGTCAGGCCTGGAGCTGCACCAGCACCAAGGCCAGGCAGCTGCGCAATTTTATGCTAAATCCAATACTTCTACCTGGCCAAGTATTCACTAGTTGGAAGGCAATTGCTGCTCAACAGGGAGGAGAAATGAGGCCATTGTGCAACTGATGAGATTACCAAAATCATCACCGTGGCCACATAACATCATTTTTATAGTTCATTAGAATCACACACTGCAAAACAAAAGCAAAAATTAGAGCTATGACGATGTCCTAGACAGCGCTTTGTAGCACGCTAGTGTTCTGCTTAATGGCAAGTCAGCAAAGCTGAGGAACAGCTGAAGTAAAAGGAACTAAACTCTCGTAAAACAGGACTACATTTCAAAACAAATATAAAAAAGCATTCTGGGATTTTAAATTTTATTGGAAATACGCAGAGACTAGCAGCAGCATTTTATAGGGGCTATCAACAGGCTGATTACCCACATATGTGCTTTGGCCGGGACTTACCACTGCTGAAGTCTGTCACATAGCAGATGCTTCCCATAGATAAGGTATGGCTGTTTACAACTACATAAAAATGAAATAATATTTTTAAAAAATCAACTGTGGTTATCAAGATTTTGAGCTGAATAAAACACACTGATGAACTGCCAAGTCAGATTTTGCATATCTGCCCTTCATCACATAATGACAGGAAGGTCTCACACACACACACTGCCTGAAATCCCTCGCCATGAGGAAAGAGCTGCAGGTTCAACACAACTCCTGCAGGACCCAAGCATCGCACAAGCTGGGCCACCACAGCACCACATCACTTACATCCCCATGTATACGTCAACACCCTGAATATGCCCAGCTTATAATCACAGGACATACGCTGTGGAGTTATAACAGTCCAGCCTTCTCTTTCCTCTCAAGGAGATACTGAAAACGAGATTAAAGCGAGACTAAGCTAATGAAGCAAGAGCCAACAAGCCCTCCTCTTCCCCCACAGTGGTTATGTTGATGCTCCAGTAAAGCAACCACAAGTCTTTTTTCTTTTAATTTTTAAATCATCCTCACCCTCAGTCCAGACCATTTCCTATTTCTTTCTCTTAGATAACTCCTCTAAGACATGGACTCCTGGTTTCATAAGAAAAGCACTCTCTACTTTTTCCAAAAGACACCCACATTCCTCAGTCACACTTTGGGCTATACAACAGCAACCTACATGAGGCATTCAACAAAACCAGCCCCAACTCTGTAAATGTGTACCCTGCTACATACATTTGAATACAACCCAAGTACACAGGACTGCTACCACCCTATTGTTTCACACCACTGAGCTCTTTGCTTGTTACTTCTGTGAAAATTAACACTTAATATTCAGAAATGTTAGTTTGAATGCAAGAAAAACGAAGTACTTACACAGAATGACTAAGGAAATACCAAGACTGTATTGTACATGAGATGCAGTTGATAGCTATTAAGTACAGACCTTTTGGGGCATCTTTTTACTCTTTGCAATGAATACAATGGGTGCCGACCAGCAGATCTTTCAAGGGAATAACATAGAGTAAGAAAGGTTGTAATATTTTTTTTGCACTTTCAGATTATCTTAAAAATAGATAGTAACAAAAATGAGGAATTCTTTTGAAACTTTTGTAACTGATCTTGACTTAATAAGTTGCTTTTGGGTAGTGAAGTTGCAAATTGAGGTAATGCTTTTTGGCATGTTACCAGTACAAATCTATTTCATTATTATCTGAATGTACTAAACGTATCTTTCCAGAAGCATCTTTCCTTGTAGCATGGAAATTAGTAACTGGAGAGAACCACTGAATATAAATACAGTATCAAAATTATAATTACTCATCAGAGACTGTGCTTGAATGGAGCAAAGAACTTGCAAGCAGCAATTATAGCTGAGATCACTTTGATTTGATCTAAAGAAAACACTTGCATAAATTGGAAACTGAATTAATCCTAAACCATATTCAGGTCAATTCCGCACACAAAAATAGACATTACTGAGATTCATCATTGTGAACACTTCCGAAGCCTCTAAAAAAATACTTCGACTGTCCTTCCCTTAAATATATTTTCTTAATAGTCTTTACACACACTGCAGTTGGAATAGATTAGCTGACCTTTGAAAGTCTCTCCCAGCCCTATTATTTATTTTATTTAGGTAGATTCCACAAAGATACACTCTGATTTTTGACAGTTTCAACATCGGCCCCATTTATTGGTACCATTTTAAGAGCACAGTCCTCAAGGTGATGACTACATTATCTTAGGTGAATGACATTTCTTGACAATTTACCAGAGCAGTTCCACACCCATAGTTACTGCACATCCTCCATACACCTGCAGACTCGTTTTTCTCTTCTACAAACCATATTCCGAATCTTTTCAAAGCTGGACTTTTACATTCCAGTCTGTTGGCACACATCTCAGCATATCACCTTCTGCTAAGCAAACCCCAACCTGCCAGCTAATACACTGTCCCTGCAACCTCCCAAACTCAGCCAAGACACCCACCTCACAGTCACTGATAACAGAATGAGATGATGCAAAGTAATGACTGCATATTCATTTTCTGCAATCATCTATCCAACAAGAAGTTAGTTAAGCATCTTGGAGGCTGAAAACCTTAGTCTGCCTGGAAGGTGCCAATTAAGGAGTAATTTGCTGTTTCCAGTTTTGGACACGATAAAAAGTAGTCTTCCGTCCTGGAAATATGCATAATACTATACGGCTGAACGATACAAGAAAATATATATATATACACTGAAGTCATATGTTTTTCCTATCTAATGCAAAGCCCATAGCTCTTCCTCTGCTTCTCATAACCGACTAAACAACTATTTAAATACAGGAGAAAAACAAAAAAGTAACGGATGCTTTCCCGAGTTAGTAGCTGCAATGCCCAAGCACCTCAAAATTAGCTTTCGTGTTACCAGCGATCCCCAGTGGAGAACTGCACAGCAGGAAAGATGAATGATACTGAAATGTAGTGTTTCTAGTCCATGATACTAGAGATTTCAGTTCTTCATATGGTTAAAAAAAAAAAAAAAAACCTAATGCTTCAGAGAATTGGCAAACTACTCACATTCCAGCTCCACCACTGACTGATGGGAGATGAAAAGGCAGAAAGAAACCTGATCAGAAGCTCTCCAAAATGTCCTAAAAGCCTGTCAAAATAGAGACTATGCAATATTAACCCCCTTAAAATTTTATCTGGAATCTGGCACATATTAGAGGGGAAGAAATACCTCCTCAAAGGGAAAAGACAAAACTCAAGCTCTTGCTGATTTCCGAAGGAGGAATGAAAGCTTTATGAGCAGCAGTATCTACCACAGAGCACAATGTTCTTCAGGGTACGAACCTTCCTGGGGGCTGGCATCGCCCAATGCCAGATAAAATGGAAAAGTCCTTTTCGGTGAGCATTACTTAGTGCCTTTCTGGCAAGCATCAGAAATGACAGGATAAATTCCAGTCTTCAGAATAAATCCCTACTGTCGTAAATTATTGATTGGGGTCAGAGCAAAATGAAATGAAATGCAGCTTCCAAGCAGAAAGTCAGTCAGCGTGGTGGAGCAATGATGAAGCTCTGCAGGTGAGCCAGTGGAAGATGTGGAATGCTTTCTCCTGGAAGCCACACAACTTTTCTTCTAACAATCTCCAATGACAGATTCTCTTCAATTGGTCATGGAAGATCCTTCAGCTGCTTCCAGTTATAGACAGCAGGCGGTTACAGAGCTTCGTCATCTGGAGGTGGATGAAGAATTTTGAGTTATTAGCTGTTTTAGGCTTTGAAATTCTTGAGTGGGCAGCTTACATTCAAGGTTTGACTCTTCTGAAAGATGTTTCCCTTCTCAATTCATGAGAAGATATAGTTCTGATTCATGAATAAATTTGGAAATCTAGTCTACTAATAATGGTGGAATATATAACTCTGGAGAACCAGAGCACTGGTGACAGTGAACGTTTTCTACCTTTCAACATATGCTGTTCACATAACCTCAACTTTGTCCATCTTTGTGAAAGAGGCAACTACCACCATATTATTCAGCCTCCCTGAAGGTGAATATGAGTATTATAGTTCTTATGGCCAGACTAGAAGAGCCACTGTCCTGACAGAGAGACCACTGTGTGGCTAAAAACTGGCCAGGAGAAACCCATGAAGGACACGGCTTCTCCACACCCTACCATAAATCTGATCAGACCAACTGCAGGTCGCTGCTGTTAATTAGCTCATCCCAGATGCACCCAGCAGGCACCAACACCACACACCTTGGAGGGGCAGCCCTCGGCACCGTCAGGTAGGCCCACAGTGAACCCCGTAAGGGACAACATAATCCCAATTTCAGGAAAAAGATAGAATAAAAATGGAAGAAACAGGTAAATCAACGGACTACCAGCTACAAACTGTTAAAGACAGGAGAAGATAGGCACTTAGAGACATGAAGTGCTCTCACTCAAGCTCTAACTGGTGAGAAGGAAATGACTTACGCTTAGGAGCTCGTTCCTCCTATGTACCATCAATGGATGCAATTTCTCCCATTTTGCCTCTTTCAGCAATGCTGACTAAGAAGTTCTTCGGCCCAAATGGACTGGCACATACCCAAACACAGTGGAATAAGAGGAAAAACTGTTCTTCTTCCACAGGCAGCTTGATAAGAAACTTGTAGACAGTCCCAAGTAATCACGGACCACTCAAATTTCAGCAGAAAAGCTTTCTTTGCACTGTTATTGCTGCACTTCACTTGACCGAGCTATGTGTGGTTCCTCAGTCTGGGTTAATCCCTTCAAGGAGGTTCATTAAACCAGAATAGCAATTATTTTGAAATTCAAGATAGTTTGGCCAACAGTCTATTTGTTGCAGTGTCTTCCTCCCTAAATCCATTCCTTATCCTTCCTCTTTTATTATACTTATTATAATTTATTTATTATAGAGGGAAATTGGGCAAAAAGCATTGATAAGAAAAACCCAGTGTCACAAGGGAGAGACATTTGCTCTCAGGTCTGGAGATGCTAGAAAGAATGACACTCATCCTTCATCAACTACTAAACTAGTATAACAAATAGTGTGTATTATTTCTATTATCTTGTTATGAGATTCATCCTCCCTCCTTGTGAGAAATGTTACCAACAGGGTATCTTATTCCACAGGAATTCTGAGTTGTTTACTGGCCTTAGTCTTACACATACTGGAATCTCTCATGGGTCTTTAGAAAACAAGCAGCTCTAAATAAAAGTTTTAAATAATTGTTAAATAAGTAATAAGTTTAAAATTACTTTAAATAAGTAAATTTAAAAATAGGCTAAATATGTAAAGAGGCTTGATTGATTAGAGACAATGCATAAACACTGATTACTTCAAAGTAAGCATATATGCGATATGCCTTTATGCTGTGATGCTCCCATACACTGTAATTTAAATTTCTCCCCCTTGATACTCCAGCCTTTTTTTCCTATAAACAAATCCATTATTTTCAATGATAGAGCAAGATATATTACATATCACCATATAAATATGGAGTTGCTTCCTTGTTAAGGATATACCCATATATCATGGTTCCTAAGTAAAAACAATACTAATATAAAAGCAGCTCCAAAGAATTTATCAGAACTTATTTTTACATCACTTAGCCAGCAAGCACTGTGCAAATATTTACACCATCAATTACTTAGGTCCTCAACACACACACCACAGTTCCAATTCCAAGTTAACAGAAAAAAAAAGAATAAACCACTCCTCTCAATGCAAAATATACTCAATGATCATGTGTCACATTTTTAGAAAACACTATAGCCTTACAATATCCATATGTCATGAGACCTTCTGTTCAGAGCATATATGATCTATATATTGGAGAGACAATATGCCAGCATAGGAATTTCTTCTTCTCCAGTGATGCAATTAAGTCATAGATTCTCACTAGAGCCAAATTCACTTTCAATGTAATTCTAGTCAACTAAATGTATTTGCATCAAGAATAAATGTTTTTAAATTACTTCACAGAGTCTTAAAATGGTCTTAAATTCACCCTATTCACAAAAAAAAATCCCATTACTATAATCATTTTCAAAAATGAGAAAAAAAATCCTGCTTCTTTCAGCAGGCGAAATGGAAAGCATGAAACAAATTTGATCCACCTTTCATCTGTGCAAAAGCATTCATTTCCCAGGACAATGACAGAACGAGTACTCCTGGGCCTTTTTAGTTTTAAGATTATTGGAAGTTACACATGCTGAGCACATTTTTGCAAGAACCCATGCACTTGTACATCTCTGCACGTGATGCATCTGCAGGAAGTGAATGGGAAAACAAAAGCAGTCTCTAAAGGGGACTAAAATCATGCTCATTTTGTGTTCAAACTAAGCACTAGAGTCCTAAAAACGTCATTCCTTGAAGCACTAAAATCACACCTGCACTTACAATTTTCGCCACGGACCATGTCTCCAGCAGGTACTGCACTACCTGGCTTCGGGCAGTGAGCATTCCTATCAACTCCAAAGACACTCACACCAGCGAGCACAAAAACGCTCCCACTCGCCCAAGGGGCGCAGAACCACCCGCAAGCTCCAGCCAAGTCGGCACCCGAGGGATAACGGGAGCAGGGAGCGGACACCGCTGGCAGCCCCCTTGTGTGCAGGCAGGTCCAAGCACAACGGGCTGTCTCCATCCCAGGGAGGCGAGCGCTGCAGCCAGCGTACGCCGTGCGCATCGCTCCCTCCGGGAAAACCCATCGCCCGTCATCGTGGGCGGCGTGTGCACCATGTCCACGTTTCCACAGCAGAAAAATCACACTGAGTATCTCGAACATCAGTTATTCATGTTACTACTAATAGCTAAGAATAAACACACACACACTAGTAACTTGCTTTACTCAGTAGTGGTTTTATATTATACGACAAGGTTAGAGTATAAATTTTGCATAATACAGCTGGCAAAACACAGCACTGGAATTAGACTGAATTAAAAGAAATACAGTGATAGAGTCACTATAAAACACAACTAAACCAATTCTAAAAGAAATTTCTTACTGCTTTTGATACTTTGTATTAACGTCAGAGGATAACCCTAGACTCTTAAATAACAAACAGCAAAAACATTTTAGAAGATTCCAGTGTTAAACTTGCAGCAAAAGCTAATTTATTTGAGTGTTCATTGCCTAGATACTTAGATATATTTCAGTTTATCATTTCCCATTAAAGAATGAAAATATTAGACATAAAGATTAAATAAGAAAAAAGAATCCATAAGCTCCACATCAGAATTTGGGTATTTGAGAGCAACTGAGAAGGTGGAGCAGCAATCTTCAAACAATTAAACCCACAAGTAATTAAGAGACACTCCTGTTAACATGGAGAGCTCAGTATGAGAATGACCAAGGTGATATCTCAGTACAGTATCTGGAGAGAGAAAGTCTCCTATATTCTAAACCAAAGCAAACACTGGTGTGCCTGTAAGCAACTGATGCTACTTTCTCTCTTTCTCTTACCTGTGGTTTTGTCCTTGTTAAGCCAAAGCAATATTTTCCCTCATTCTGCATTACCCACTGAGGGCATGCAATTTCCATCAAAAACACCTAAACCCATGGTTTTAAATTATCTGTGCATCATTTTAGAGCAGAATCTAATATCACATCACATCTAGTATCACATCAGAGAGTGCTTTGCAGAGAAACTAAATTCCTACCTTACTGGGCGCAAACCGAGAAGTTCCTTTAGCCTTCGGCTATCTAAACCAGTGTCCCGGGAAGGAATGGAATCTCTTTTGTGGCACCAAGATGCTCGTAAAGCTCGACCAGCCTTGTGAGCTGCCAACCTGCTCAGCAGCACTGCTCACTTCTGGCGGGTGGCAACAGCTCTGTGCAAACACCGCTCGCCTCCTGCCACGAGCTGCAGCTCCTCGGAGTGAAAGCAAGCTGAAGCCTCGATAGGCGCCCGGGTTTCTCCACGCATTCGCAGGAAATGACTCAACGCCCTCCCCAGCTTCAAGCGCTGCAAACGGCCTCCTTCCCCTTCCCACAACGCAGAAGATAACAAGTTAGCAAAGCTTATACTATACGCTTGTTAAACAGGGGCATGAATCAAACATGAGAGATTTACCCAGGAAACATTTCATTTCAGAACAGCTATGCGCAGCGTTTTGCAAAGAATACCTGAAGTGGGGAAATACCAACCTTAAAATATTCTCAGAGATAATACGGAAAGAATATGGGAATGCCTAAAAAGTAGGCATTTTCTTTCATTCACATAAATACAAAGGCATTCATTTATTAAAACAAGTATTTAAGTTCATATTTATTATACTTCAGAGATTAAAAACAATATTCAGACAGCATCTCCGTATGTAAACATCAGAGGAATTCCATCAGTTTTACTCCTTTAGCAACTCTCTGTACCTCACATTGGATCGTATTTACTCCAAAAGATCTCAGCTTTCTAAGCTACGCTTTGCCTGCATCAGCCATAAATCCCTGCAGATGAACGGTCAGAGCAGTTTTCAAGTGTGGATTCTCTCTTCCCTGACTTCCCCATTCCTGCAGAGGTCACTTGATGACAGGGAGGCCCTCCTGGAGGGACGCAGTTTACAGTGGAATATGTCAGAGGAGATTAAAATTCAGTGGCATGATTCTGAAATACTGGTTTTAAGTAGAAGAGACAGCCAGAAAGCACCCAGTCTGCGGCCAAATGTCTGAATTCCTCTT